CCTTGTCCTAATGGATGATGTGGCTCAAAGTACAGTGGTCAAAAATTCGAGAAAATCAGGTTGCTTGACATGTCCACGTTTACCAAGCGACTTTTGTGATGTTTCACGTTTGATTTTAGGGTTTGAGAAAATTGTTGGTTCAGAATATTCCCTCGGATTGATTGGGGCACTTAGATGGTATTTGATACGATGATGCTCATCGAAAGTGTCTCAAGCATTGGTCTGCCGCAAACAGTACATGCAAGTTGGAGATCCATTCTGATAAGCCACATGATAAGATTTCTGAACTGCCTCAATAATAGTGAGGAGAATGTTTACGATTAAATCCTTTACTTACTTTAGACATGCATCGTTCGGAATATGTGGGTACGACATATGTGCGTTGAGGGGCATATTTGAATGCATCGTGATAACTAACTAATACCATCTCCATGGGATGAGTTACTACTTTCTATGGTGAAAGTCTCTACGTCCTTACTCAGTTAACAATTTACCTTTATGTTCACGCCCCTAAGTGTTTCGAAACAGTCGCAAGCGTGAAGACCTTGGTTACACGTAGAATCCGCCAGTCATGTATGGCTAATGTGGAGAAGTCCGACGTATGTTCTCGATATTGATGCGTTAACCCAGTTTTGTTAACCTTTGAATGGTGCATCCGGCTTTCTTAAAATAAAATTCGGCGAGATGCGTAGATGATGTAAAGTGTCAATTCTGATGCTGAATGTATGAGATGTTACCCGTTTGGGATTTCAACTCAAAACAGCATCTGACGAAAGGGCTTACTGAAGCAGCCATTGTTGTATATAGCAATCAGGAATGAAATTCGATAAGAAGCACTCATTATGGGTGTAAATGTTGCCTTTTATTCATTTCGCCTCGTTTCCAATCGCTCAAATCTCATTTATTCATGGAAGCATGTTCGACATTATTGAGCAATCAGCTATGGCTTACTATTTTACATAGCAATAAGCTCGGTTCAAACTTATTGCTTGCAGTCCCTTGACGGCAAGATATCTTTCAACGGACCTTGCAACAAGCACGAAGTAAGCAATCCCATATGTAGTCATCATTATTATCCTCATCGACAACATGACATCGGTGCTCAACACCAATGCTTCACTGCCGTACAGCCATGACTTATTTGAAAGCCTTATTGTAAAGAAAAGAATAAAGGTGGATGGGGGAGGGNAGTACCCGTTGCACAACCGAAGACTTACTATCTAACCGCCTCGTTACGGATGCGCCTACATCAACCACACGAGCTATGGTTCTGAGACAACGGTTGTTGAACACCTGAAGGCGTCTCAGTTCCGCTGTTTGAACAGGCCGGGTCTCACAGCACTACAACAAAACATCCCCCCAATTCGACGCCATAGGTGTCTCAAATTGGCAAACGCGAACGGTTACACTTTTAGAGTGCAAGTTGCGTACCAAAGGACTGGATGACTTTGGTCAGTTCATGCAAGAAGACCTGCGTCTTCTCTTCCTCTTCAAAGATGAGGACGATATCGTCCGCATATTCCATAGCGATAAGGTTTTCGTCATAGGCTATATGGACACCAGGGTTTCGGCTACCTTTCAGCGATAGTCTCATCATTTCATCAATCACGAAGTTAAATAGAAAAGAAGAGAGTGGCACCCTGACGGACACCGCTTTGTGTACGGTAGCTTTTGGAGAGTTCGCCGTACACTCTCACACGTTCGGAAGTCCGAAAATACAGAAAGCTTATTATGTTCACTAAATTCAAGGACATTACTTGGTGGGCAAGCGTAGCAAGAGGAACAGATCGGTCAACTGAATCGAGTGCGTCTTGGAAATCCAGGAACACTAGAATCGTGAGTCGTCTGAGCTCGTAAGCTTGTTCTCATTTTCCTTCTATATTCAGCTTGATGAAGAAAGGGTGACAGCGGCTGCTGCAATCCTATTTACTCTGAGTGCTAGCTTTTGCTTGCCCAAGACAATTTCTGTTGACCGTCCATTCTTATACTCCTCGTATGTGATTCCACCACGCTCATATTTGTTGGGCATGAACGATAACTGTTCTACAATGCATGGGGGCATTCATTGTGGATTTTGGTGGTAATGTCGGAGCGGTGTCACTGGTTGGATGTACTGAAAATCTTTGTATGAACCCGCACTGAGGATAGTGTTGAATAAACCTCCATCAGTATTTGATGATAAACAGAGGCATCGTGAAAACAAGGCAGATCATTTGAAATGAGTACAATGTTGCTTGTTTAGATTTGGTGATTTAAGTGTTCTGAACGTTGACTGGACTAGCAGTAGTGCGACGCTCGTCTCACATGTGAGATATCCGAGGAGGCAACACCGGAGCGGCTGACAACCTG